GAGAGAGAGTGAGTGAGAGAGAGAGTGAGAGAGAGAGAGAGAGAGAGAGAGAGAGAGAGAGAGAGAGAGAGAAAGAGAAAGAGAGAGTGTGTGTCTGTGTGTGTTTGTATTGCACTTGAAAACCAAAAAAACGTGATTCAAATGAATCCTCTATCAAAAAAGATTCACAGCCCAACTAAACAACAATATAAAACCATCATGTTTTCAGAGCCTTTCATAAATACTGAAGACACACGGTGTATTTTTGCCCCAACATTACGGGTTTTTACTGTACCAAGGGCTGCATTTGGATAATCAATTAATCTGTTCATTATTACTGATCTAAACTAAATATTAATAATATTAATAAATAACATTAGAAGAGCAATGAAACCAGCTAAGATCTAAGATGTTTTGCAGTAACACACAAATTGCTGTTTTATGTCCACAGTCACAATATAATCCCATTATTTATTTCTGATCGAGTAACATAAGCAACGTCTGTTCATATTACATCGTATGATATCCAATTACTGGTTGCCCAGGCCAAGTTCAGATTTTTTAATGATTGGCATCAGACTTTAATTTTGAGCACATGGGGCTCCCATTCTCTATTCTAATAATCAACACACATGAAAAACAGTAAACCGTTATAATACTTTCTCATCTACCGTCAGCATTCAGCAAATATGCATTTATATCATTTAAACAAATAAACACTTCATTTCACAAACCTTGCAGATTTTGTCAAATTCAGCTGTGAGGTCTTCTGAAACTATGTGCATTTGTAGATCATCGCATATCAAAAAATCCACATCAGTCTATTATATATTACATCATATATATTATATGACATGTAACCATTTAAACAAGTTGTGAGGAGAGAGAGTGTTGCCAGATCCAGCTATTATAAGCGTCTTTGGACTTGTCTTTTCCACTTAGTTTGACACTTTAGAAAGTTAATTAAAGTGGGAAGTTTCATTTTAGTGATATCTTTATCTTATTATCAAAAGATTTAAACCAATTTAGGTTTATATTTTATTTATTTTTCGTTTTTTATAGCAATATCTGGCAACGCACCGCCGGCACTGAATCGAACAGTAATCAAATGTTATTGGTTATTTGACCGGTTATCGCTGACAGCATAACACATTCGGTAAATATGATATTATCTGTCAGAAACGTTATCAACGCTATCAAAAACAGCAGCATTTAACACTAACACACAGATCTGTAGAACAAGCAGGTTACAGAACGAAATATGCAAACACTAGCCAAGAAGAATTCTATGCTATTTCATTCAGCATAGAAGTTACATTTTCACAAAGTCATGCTAAAAACATTCATAAGTGCACTAGACAAAGTTATCATACAGCAATTAATGAAAACTATAGGCTAAGAGTAATAACTATTGTTGCATGAATAATAAACAACTGATAAAATTATCCACCCCTATCCTATAGTAAAGTATTTTGATGCAATAAATACGTTTTTTTCAGATCTTTCACACACATCTACACGTCAGTCTCTTTTAAAGTGTTTAGTGTATATAATGAGCTGTGTTTGTAGGGGTTATTATAGCACAATTCTTAACCCCACCCCAGACCTGACTATTTTTCAAACCCATGATCACGTGTTATAAAGATTGCGCACCCCTTTTCTCTTACACTACTTATGATCGACCTGTGTGTACACGCTCTTACTTCGTATTTCACGTTTGACAACAGCACGAGTGTTTAAACACACACTTCATGTTAGGACGAGCCTTCTGCTAAAACGGAAATGTTCAGATTATAAAAATATAACCGTAAAATGTAAATGATGTCCCGGTGAAAAGTGGCAGCTTGACAAAGGCCATAAGAAAAATGTTGGGGATTCAAACTCTTTGCATTTGAACTTTCTCTTCTTCATATACAGCTTTAGACTTAAAATGTTCACTACATTTAAGTGATTAAAAATGCCTCTCGAGAGCATTCGTGAAATGACATGCCCGTGACTTTCTTTGAAGGGTTTAATATCAACATGCTTTAGAAACTTTTTTTTTTTAATAGAAAAAAATAACATTTTATTTTAGTATGGTCTGAAAAGAAGTTACATTTTTATAAGCCTAGTAGAGCATATATACACACTTTTTAAAAAAACATGCAGGTTATTGTATTTGCTGATATTGAGGGTAAAATGTATAAAACACTTACTGTGGTCCGAAGTCCAGCGTGGGCGGCTGAAACTGGAGCTGTCTCCGACTCTCCTGCACATAAAACGAGGAGCTGAGGAGAGAAATAAATGTGCATGTCAGACAGACTGATGCTTTTTACATGAAAAACACTGAGAATCAAAAGCAGCAGGAAGGTTTAAAGTGCTGCTCTCTGGGAAAGGAGCGAATTAACAGTGCATACTGTATGAGCAAATCAAAACAATACGACTATGTCGCCCCTTGAATAATAATCCGAATATTCGAGTATTTGTGCGTAGCCCTAGAGAGCAGTACTATGCAACCAAACCCCATTTGAGTTAACTGAAGACCTCATGATGCAAAATCCTGATTTCAATCAGAGTTAAGAACTAATTCTGGTGTTCTGTGCCCGGACTTCGCCCCGAGACGACATTTCACTGGTTCGAAAAGCCGACTTTATCATCGCTTCACATGCATGAATGTTAATAAACCTCAAACAGACTGAGTTTGTTGGCAGTCTCAGCGAATGACTTCATTCCTCCTGAGACTACACTTATGATACATGAGAATTATCATGTGATTCAGTGTGAACATTCGAGAAAGACTGAGAAAAGAGCTTATGAAACGAGAAACTAAGCAATCAGTAAGATTGCACAATTTAGACACCAAAACACCAAAGAATCATAACGTAATATAGGCTACAACACAACAAGTGTGCAAAAGGGTGCCAGGAAACTAAAAACAACAGGTGGGCAGCAGGGCAAAGCAGACCGGATCATAAACACCTCGGTTTATAATCTCCTGATACTTAATAAACGCAGGAGAACAGCGTGAACAAAAAGCCCTATGAAGTTGTTCTGAGAAGTTTTGCTTTGTTGAGATGAATGAGTTTTGGGAGTTTGTGCTGATAATCATGACCTTGTGATCAAGCTGGGTAAAAATTCATTTTCCGATTCATTGCGATGTACACTGCTGTTCAAAGATCTGGGATTAGTTAATGCCTTTAAAAATGTCTCTTCTGCTCATCAAGGCTGCATTGATCTGACCCAAAAATACATTAACAGCAGTCAAATTTGTGAAATATTATTCCAATCTCATGTAGCTGTTTTCTATGTCAATATCTGTTCAAATGTAATTTATTCTTATGATCAAAGCTGTATTTTCAGCATCATTACTCCAGTCTTCAGTGCCACATGATCTTCAGAAATCAGTATAATATGCTGATTAATTATCAATGTTGGAAACAGTTGTGCTGCTTGGAACCTATGATACGTTTTTCAGAAAGAACAGCGTTTATTCAAAACAAAAATGTTTTGCAACAATTATTCTTTCTTTTATTTCTTTAAAGAAATTAATACTTTTATTCAGCAAGTACATGTTAAATTCATAAAACACTTAAGAGACACTAAACTTATATTGTTAGAAAAGATATTAAAATGTGAACATAATGCAATATAAGACTATGTTCTGTAAGGAGAGTCATAATGCAGCGCCAGCACCAAACGGAGAGAACTGCAAAACTAACTAAATTATAACCATTTAGATTTAAACAAGTTTGTATCTGATGACCCGAGCTGACGCAAAAAGTTAATTGTGAAATGTTTGCACTTCAGAAATCAGTATAATATGCTGATTAATTATCAATGTTGGAAACAGTTGTGCTGCTTGGAACCTATGATACGTTTTTCAGAAAGAACAGCGTTTATTCAAAACAAAAATGTTTTGCAACAATTATTCTTTCTTTTATTTCTTTAAAGAAATTAATACTTTTATTCAGCAAGTACATGTTAAATTCATAAAACACTTAAGAGACACTAAACTTATATTGTTAGAAAAGATATTAAAATGTGAACATAATGCAATATAAGACTATGTTCTGTAAGGAGAGTCATAATGCAGCGCCAGCACCAAACGGAGAGAACTGCAAAACTAACTAAATTATAACCATTTAGATTTAAACAAGCTTGTATCTGATGACCCGAGCTGACGCAAAAAGTTAATTGTGAAATGTTTGCGCTTTGTAGAGTAAAGTACCGGCAGTTCAAGCATTTTCACGATCTCTAATTTGTATAAAAAGACTTTGATTCTCGAACTCATTCTTGTTAAGTACGGCCGCAATCGTCACCGGAAAAACCTTTACCCTGCAAGCGCCAATCCGGAAGCCAGAAACACGGAAGTGTGAAAAAGGCTAATCATATGCCTTTAGTTCTGCGTAAATCAAATGCACTGTGCTGTTGGTCGGGAACCAAGAACCGGTTATTATAATCAGTTCCAAATTATTTATTAACTAACTGTTCTTGCACAATAAGAGAGAGAAACAGTGCAACCAATGATGTATGAATCCTGAACTTAATCTCTGTAGTCAATCAAACACATACAGTTCCTAACTTGTGCAGTATTTGAGCTTTCGGGACTTCAGTCTGTCTGGTTGCTTATATGACAACATGTTGTTCGATACACTAAACAATTGCGACTGCTAAATTTCTTTAAAAATGTTTTTGAAAGAAGTCTCTTCTGCTCACAATGAGTCAAAAATACAGTAAAATTGTCAAAAATTATTACAGTTGAAAACTGCAGTTTTCTATGTGAATATCTTTTAAAATATAATGTATTTCTGTGATCAAAGCTGAATTTTCAGAATCATTACTCCAGTCTTCAGTGTCACATGATCTTCAGAAATCTGATTTATCATCAATGTTGAAAGCAGTGGTGCTGATGAATATTTTTGTGGAAACCGTGATACATTTATTTGAAACTGAAATCTTTTGTAACATTATTTTACTGTGCCCAAACGTTTGAATAGTGCATGTCAGAATTATTTCTAAATGTAACCGCATTTTTTAGTACTGTTATTTAATTTACAGTAAAAAAAAAAAAATCAAGCTTTTCTTTACAGCTAATAATAGACACTTCTCACACAACACATCACTTTGCTGGCAGCAGCATCACTTCCCATCACTAAAAGAAAAAAGTGTTGACGTTTGAAATCGGATGTAGCGCTCATTTCCTGTGTGTGCTGAAACAGGAAGTTGTAGGTAATTTGAATAACGCAGGGGTTAGGAGTGTAGAAATGACACTTTGTAGCGGAGTTCAGCTTTGCGTTTCAATGTTTCAAAGCCATTTGTACTGTAGAGCAATGTGAATATTATGGTCTGCTTGAGAGTCTAGTGATGAGCAGGGGGAGGAGCCAACACCCCCAAAAATTAATTCATTATCCGTCTAAATGAAAATCACATTTGAAAAACTTTCCACGATGCTTTTAAAAAAATTAAATCAAACAACATGCCTTCCCAGAACATTGGAAAAACGTGCCGTTTATGTTTTGAACAAACAAGACCAAACGCAGAGAATGTACGTCTAATTTTTACCATTTTGTGTTTTTTACCATTTAAAGGGATAGTTCACTCAAAAATGAAAATTCTGTCATCATTTATTCACCTGCAAGTCATTCCAAACATGAGAGTTTGTCTCATCTGTTGAGCACAGAAGAAGATATGTTGAAGGACGTTTGTAACCAAACTGCTGCTGGTCCCCATTGACTTTGTTCATGCTCAAAATATCTTCTTCTGTGTGCAGCTGAAGAAAGAAAGTCATACAGGTTTGGAACAACATGAATGATGACAGAATTGTCATTTTTGGGTGAACTATCCCTTTACGCTGTTCTATCGGCAGTGTGTTTTCTAGCCATCCTTCTTGTTTTGGATGTTCTGCAAGTCAGATGTTTGCTCAAATGGATTCTTGACGTTTCTCTTGATGCATCGGCAGAGTCTTTTTGCTTATTCATTGTCCCATGAATAGCAGACGTGAGCGCCTGCTGGTATTTTTATATAGATTATTGGTCAAGGTGCGTCTGTAAATGGAATATTCTGGGCTAGATGCACCTTAAGCTCTACTGCAGCAGTTTGTGAAAGCAAAAGAAAAAGAGGAAAAAGGAAAAGAATATGCTGCTTTGTATATTAATCAGATATTAGTACTTAAAACATGGGGAAAATGTATTAAAAATACATCCAAAAGTTATGTCCAGATTAAGATCCAAGGCAATACATATACATTTATTAATATTTATTTATATAGGCCTATTATTTAGTTAAGATTACATTAGGCCTATATATACACATACACTTTTAAATAAGTTATTCTTTTTTATTATACTGGCTACTTTTATTTATGGCTACTTTTATTATATTGTTGTTGTTACTATAACACATATTTGTATTAAGTTTAATTTTTGTCCTATCTCTCCATAAAAATATCTTCTAGGTTTTGTTTTTAAGCATTCTTCTTGTTTGAAGACACAAGCAAAACCATTCATCATTAAATTGATATTATATTCATCATTAAACTTCAACACTTTTGAGCGAAGCAATACATTTTAACCAATTCAGAATTGCGAGATAAAAGACACATTTTTTATTCAGTGGCAGAAATAACAGATGGCAAAAACCAATATGAACAAAAAGTGCATTATCATCTGATTTAGATTTTGTGACCGGTGACCACGGTGGGTCACATGACAGACGCAATAAACACACAAGCAATAAATGTGCTGCCACTAATTGGTGCCAAAACAAACACAGAAACACAACCCTCCTTCTATGACTTAACCAAGAAAAAAAGAGCAGTGAGCGGCAGAGAAGCACCGCAGCCGACTCCTCAATAAATGAGTACACAACGGCGTTTCCTAGCACCTGTCGCTTACTGAGTGTTAGGAATTATAAATATGAGCATAGTTCGTCTGTTAATATCACATGAACTTTTTTAGTTTGTTGTTTTTTTTAGTTTGTTACTCAGACGCAGGCAGTGCGCTGCATGAGACAAAAAAGTAATATAGCCAAAACAACCGCATAGTTTAGTGTAGATGCATGTGGATTTTATCAGACGATGCTGTGATTATAAATGAGAGTGACTCCTGGTTAACGTATTAAAAGGGGTCGTGTTTAGTCACTATTTAGTGTGGTATTTTTTGACAATATTCACTCATCATGACAGTAAAATATGGCATTCTAAGTCTATATACTGCAGTATTTTCTCTCTCAATCAGTAGAAGATATGGTTAACATCCAGTCATGCATGAAAAAACAATACCATCATGTACCGTGAAACCGGTATAATTTGGAAAAATACCGTGATATACATTTTTGGTCATACCGCCCAGCACTAATGTATACACATTTGTTATCTGAATAATAAATTAAATGTCAAATACTAATACAAATACTAAATCCATTTTTTTTTATGTTGGATAATGTAATCCAAATTTAATGTAACTCAGATTTGTACTTAATCCAGACATTTAGATGACCAATAATAATAATAATAATAAAAACAACACTCAAGCACTCACATACATAGCTTGCATGAATCAGTTTTTTAATACAACAAAGTTTGTCTTATTTCCTTCTCTTTGTTTTGACAATGACGACAGATTCAGGTGTTCTGACACGTGTTCAGATAAGATACGTTTTTAAAAAAGAAATCTGAACCCCACCAGTATTACTTATTGCATTACACACACTTCCAATATTGGACCACAAGCATGCATAAATATGGTTCATTGCAGGTGTTCATTTCTATGCAAGCAATCCATGTCCTGCTACTGGTGCAGTGTGTGCGCAATAACTTGCATCCTGGATGCACCCTAGTTTTCTGTCCCATCTATGCACATTCTGTTGCTTAACACTGCATTGATACTATAACAATGCCTCAATGCCTGCTGACGTTAAAACCCCATGAGCCAATTTCCAGAGTTATGCATTACAAGATAGCCTCCACACGACCTCTGCATTTAGAGTGCACACATTTTATGGTTTTTTTACAGATCAGTGTCAAAGATTTAGAAACGGAGTTTTAAAGTTTACAGTACTTTTTTTTTTTCTAATTCGCAAGCATGATCTCGGCTTTCATTTCTCTATTCGGGAGCCCGAAACAACCCACAATGGCGCTGTTGTGCTCTCCCGCAAAAGACTGCTGCAGTGCTTCCATGAATTCAACCAAAAGCGTGCCGCATGCATGTGTAGAAAGAGCATTCTGTTGCTCTCCAGGAACTGCAATATTATTTTCAAAGTCTGACACATCCCCTATTCAGTATGTTTATGAAATATCTTGTCTAATGCTGATAAAGCTAAAAAGTGTGTAGTATCCGCAGTTCTGTTTAACACATTTACAACCGTTTAACTATATTTCAATACTCATAATTCCATACATTTTCCCTATACCTGAAAAGAGAGTTGATAAGGGCGATCCAAGCCCACATAAATAATACATCATAAATATACTGTATAAAATACAAAAAAAATATTTTTTTTTAGATTGTGTTATCATACATTGGTTATAAGCCATAACAAAATATTATATTATATAGCTACATGAGTAGTATGACTGTGTCTATTGTACGACAGGTTGCTTGAGAGATTTTATCCAAATTTGGTCACTTCTGCTCATTCAAAAACTCACTTTGGACCAATCAGAGTGAAGCTGTCATCTCTGCTTCCTTGTTTTGAAGCCCACGGTCACCCACAGCTTTATTTAAAAGTGCAATGTTTCTGTATAAAATGTATTTAAATAAAATAAATAATGCATGATTGAGTCTGACACCAAACTATTTTTTTTTTAAACAGCATTCATTTCCTGCATTGAATGTTTTTTAATAGACATTCAACAAAGGCGTATTTAACATCCATGTAACTGCACTTTGCAGTTGATACAGGAAGTGAGTCTTGTTGATGCTGTTGTGTTAAAAGCAGTCATTGTGCTTGGTGATAGTCTCTGATTAGGACTTAACCACAGAGCATGCCGTTACCGAGTCATGTCAAACCAATGAAAAGACAATGTGAACTATGAAACATCTGCTACAGGCAGATAGCAGAATGAGATATACAGAGTTGGTGATGGGTAGCATGAGAGGATGTGGCAAAGAGACATTGAAGAGGGGAAAATATAGAGAAAGTTAAAAAAAAAAGTTTCAATTTGAACAAAATTTGCATGCACTGCCACGGATGCTTTTTTGAATATGATCAAATACACAAATAATCCACAGTTTATGGTGGCAATAACTCTCACAAAACTGGCTTGGCTCATAGTCCACATATTTTTCATGCATTAACCAATTAATGAAGTCAACACATTCTTCTCCTGCTATTTTAGTGACACGTAAGTGAAAAAATGAAACGCAAATCTCTAGCCGTATTTGCATCCATTTTTATGCAAATGGGATATTGCATAAAAAATGTTGGATGGAAAGATCAAGATGTAAATGCAATTTCTAAAATGCATTATGAGGGGAAAAAAACTATACACTTGTGCATTAACTACAATGGACACATTTTCCAAGCACATTCCAAGATGACCTGTCTGACATGCTATTGCTTATTATGAAGCATTGAACTTAGTATGAAGTATTTTTAAGGGTGGTGGATAATATTAGTTGTATACCCTGACAAAGGACTTTAAACTCATTAAAACGCATTGGTATTTTAACATTCAATAAAAGTTCCCTTCACCACAAATGCTGCTGCTCCCAGACATGAGGTACAAGTCTTTAAAATAGCAAGCTACTTAAAAAAAATTCAGAAGTTTCATATGGTCAATAAAGAGGGAAATATAGAGCTTATCAGCATATCGGTTAAAGATAATTATGTTTTCTGATGTGTGTAGTGTCTCCTAGAGGAGGCATGTACAAAACAAAAAAAGGAGGACCTATTACAGAGCCCTGAGGCACTCCATACTTCACTTGTGTTAGATTTGATAGTTCCTCACTTACACAGTGTTGGCAGTCAGATAAATATCTTTTAGATTTTTGCCATATGTTTTGCCAATCGTAATTACATAGTCGGGTCTTTAGAGACCCACAAAATCTAACACGGTTGGATCTCTGAACTTTTCCCAGTCACTGCAACTTTCTGTACCAACATCTGTAAAATTCACAATGTAGTAGACACATGGGATAAAACGCTACTTCAATGGCAAATTCTTGTTGAAAAAAATGTATTTTCAGTTTGCATAATTGCATAGAAAGTTTTACCTTTGTGTTTACGCCAAGCCACAGCAATAATAGACAAGACAAAACATGTATAAAACTTGCAACTGAAATCCCTTGTACTTCAGTAATGTGTGGCAACTTCATGTTGCATGCTGCTCCTTTTCTTCTGAAATATACCTGTAAGCCATTTCTGCTAAAATTGATATTTTTCCATAGAACTCACTGGCATTTTGTTTATAAGCTGCTCTTATTGATATCTTGCCACTGAAATGTAGTTAATAAAACAATGTGGGTCATGCCAGTCACATGAATGCAAATGTAGAGTAAACAGAAACTGGTGTCCTCAAGAGGCTTAGTTTTCCATGCACTGTTGAAACAAACCAGCCCTCCCTTCAGATGTTTAGGGGATGTACACAATAGACCACCAGAAACTTATATGTGATACTAAAAAGGTAAAACTTTTGTGTTTCATGTTTTGAACATGATCATTTAGTAAACTAGGTTACATACAGCAAATTGTGGGTTTACAACAACATATTTTCACCAACCACACCTGAATAAAACGGCACTAAATAAGTGTCAAATATTCCAGGAAAGTCTGAAAGGGATTGTGGTTTAAAGAGAAACTCTCACCTCTCCTCTCGAGGAACATTCTCACTGTGCTGCTCCTCTGCCTGGAAGAAAAAATTAAAAGGATTCAGTAGGTAACAGCATTATTACATTAAGTACAGTTATGGAGTTTAGAATAACAATTTTTTTTAATTACATACACTACCGTTCAAAAGTTTTTAATATAATTTTATCTAGCAAAGACACATTACACTTCTCAAACGTGACAGTAAAAACCATTTATAATTTACAAAAGCTTTCCATTTCAAATAAATGATGTTCTTTTGAACTTGCCAGTCATCAAAAATTCACAGAATCATGGTTTTCCAAAATAAAGTGAATAAATAAATAATTAGCATTGTTTCAACATTGATAATAATAATACATGTTTCTCGAGCAGCAGATCAGCATATTATACTGATTTCTGAAGATCATGTGACACTGAAGACTGGAGGAATGATGCTGAAAATACAGCTGCACATCACAGAAATACATTACAGTTTAACAGATATTCACAGAGAAAACAGCTATTTTAAATTGTAATAATATTTCAGAATTTTACTGTATTTACTGTATTTTTGATCAAATAAATGCAGGCTTGGTGAGCAGAAGAGACTTCTTTAAAAACATTAAATAGAAATCGTACTGGCCCCAAATTTTTTAAAGTAAACATAAGAAAGATTAATACATTTAAGTAAGAACGCATTACATTCCTTCATTTAGCACTGCACTGCAAGTGTCTCCTAAAAAACAAAACTGTAAACAGAAACCTGTACATTCAGAGTCCAAACAGATCTGACCTGACCTTGTATTTAATGCAACAGTAGTGAAAGGAAACACCGTGCCGTTACGACACACATAACCATGCTATTCCATAAACTACCTGTAGCACATTATGGGCAATTTACCAAAATAGCCATCTTACTGAGAGCCTTGAAACCATGATTACCTGACGAGCGTCTCTGCGCTGTTAAAACAGGTTTTCATTAGGAACTAACTATAGCCTTCCAGGCATACAATGGACGTATGTAGAGGCCAGTTGGTAGCCTGGTGTCAGATGACTGTTATGAACACATTTGACAATGGTTGGATGAATATGCAGACCTACTGACAAGAGGTTTCAATTAGAGTCTTCCTCAAACCAGAAAACACGCTGTGAACCTGCAGATTTTCAGTGTAGTACTTACAAGCGCTTTTCAGAGCGCGGCACCCATCCATCATCGGCTGAGGGAGGTTCTCTTTAAACGGAATGCTGCAGGTCTATTCAATCACTTCTGACATCTATATTGACTACAAATGAATCAAAGTCTATTCATGGGGCTGCGTTTAGGCGGGTGTTTTTTAATAGAGAGCCGTTTGTGCATTTGACCTCAAATTTTATAACTCATTTTTTATTTCACTTATTTTTTTCATGAATGAGCAATCTATATCCATCTCATTTAAAGGGACAGTTCACCCCAAAATAAAAGCATGCCGTTAATTTTCTCACCTTCAGGCCAAAATGTTTTCTTCAGTTGAACAGTAAAGAAGATCTTTAGCTGAAACCGTGGGCCTTGGCTTCAGGCAAATGGGGAAATCTGATTCTTTTCTGTGAACTGGTTCTTTTGGACAGTTCATTTCAATTAACTAGTTCAATTAACTTAAGTGAGTAACTTGTAGATCTGTGCTGCTCGAGCCGCAAACTGTTTCAGATGCTTCAGTCCGATGTGATGAAGTGGTTCATCTAGTTCACTAAAAAGAACCGGTTCAAAAGAAAGATTTGTTCGTGAACCGGACGTCACTCCGGACCGTTTACCTGAGGCTCTGGATCAGAGGTAATAATGTTGTAAATAATGTTCAGTTTCTTGCACAGACTGATCGTTTCGCTTCATAAGACCTCAGTATATCGTCAGGAGCCACGGCTATTAATTTTCTGTTCCCTGATATGCTTTTTTTTTATTCTCAAAGACGTGCAGCTGCTGACTTACATTTAATTAATCACCAAGAACCACAGTTTCAGCTAAAGATCTTCTTTACTGTTCTACTGAAGAAAGCAGTACTGGGGTAATCAAAAATAAAATGCAATTCATCTGTGCTCTTGTGTTTATTTACTTTGTTTATTTTTAGTTTAGTGAACTGAATTTCCGCTTTTAAAAGCGGTTGCCGAGGTATAAATAAATCTAAATACAACTTCTTTGAAAACTAAAATAAAGCACATATACTCAAACAAAAACAGCCCAACGATATTTTAGAACGAGATTATTATTTTATTAACATTCAGCTGATACAGAGCCTAGGGTGAATAAATAAGCCCTATAATTAAACTTTAGAATGATTCAGTCACACTGTAAAGAAATGTATGACTTCACTGTACTGTAACTTTGCAGTAATGTAATGAACCACAGCAGTGCATTTAACCGCAAGGTCACTGAAATATTCCCCTGATGCTGACTAGAAAAAACCCCTACTCAGATCTGATGGTGTGTTTTTAAAGGAGTAATAGCCAATTCCCATACTGCATTTCATCTTTTTGTTTTGTTTTTCAGTTTCAGTCTAACAAAAACAGCCCAACGATATTTTAGAACGAGATTATTATTTTATTAACATTCAGCTGATACAGAGCCTAGGGTGAATAAATAAGCCCTATAATTAAACTTTAGAATGATTCAGTCACACTGTAAAGAAATGTATGACTTCACTGTACTGTAACTTTGCAGTAATGTAATGAACCACAGCAGTGCATTTAACCGCAAGGTCACTGAAATATTCCCCTGATGCCTAGAAAAAACCCCTACTCAGATCTGATGGTGTGTTTTTAAAGGAGTAATAGCCAATTCCCATACTGCATTTCATCTTTTTGTTTTGTTTTTCAGCTTCAGTCTGACATTTCCATGTGGCATAAATCAAGCTTACTACATATAAATACTAGTACAGATTGATGAAATAACACTTGACCACCTCCACTAGAGTCATCCAAACAAACAAAGCCCCTTTAAACAAAAGGAGAACTACAAATGGAATTTTCCATCCCCTTTGATGTGATTGTGGTCGTTCTCAAGCCATAAGACGGGTTGCTCATGTAACTGTTAACCACTAAAGTGGCAAACGAACCTGTGAAGCAGCAACAGTCTCTGTGCGTGTTTGTGTGGCATTAGCTTCCTGCCCCAAACTTTAATCGTCTCGTAATCAACAAATACATCCACTACCACAAAAAAAGCACACCTTTCTAACTGTGCCAGGTGTTGGGTTCAAGAGCCAATTGTTCATGCAATTCATATTTAATCATACTAACCCACTGGTTCTCAAACTGGGGTACGTGAGATGATGGTGGGGGGTACGAGTTTTGGCATTCATTTAATACCCCAACTTAAAGCAACATTAAAACCGAACGCATTTCTGACAAGCAAAATGCCGCTTCTAATGTAAAAACAGGAAAATGGGGGTGCCGTAAACGGTCAAATACACAATATCCAATCAGCTTACCTCATCTTTTGTGATCAAAACTGACTGCATCCACACACAAGCAGCGTGCATGTGATAGGATGCCCGCTGAATATGCAGCTTTAGCAAATCGCGCTGCTGTTCAATGCATCTTTAAAGTAGATCTTCACTTAATAGCATGAAGAGCAAATATTGACACGGACTGCACATTGAGATCGATTGAAACTCTCTTCGATACAGACACACTGTGCATGGTATTGTGTTCATGTTTAAGACGCGAGCAAGAATGCCAAATTCCCTGAATATCCAAACGATGGCAAATGTGCCATTCATTTTTACAACAGTTCAACAAAAAATGTAATATTAAGTGAACATTTTACATTTTAAATGTAGCCTACATTTTGAACATAATAGTCATGTTTGCTCTATTTTGCAACGAAATAATAGTTCCAACGAAATCCGTATCATCTGGTGTGTGTCTCCAAGCATCATACAGCGGTGTTTCGTCAGTGAACGAATCTGCGACTTTGAACGATTTGGAGAGTCAGTGATCTTTAAAGTAGATCTTCACTTAATAGCATGAAGAGCAAATATTGACACGGACTGCACATTGAGATCGATTGAAACTCTCTTCGATACAGACACACTGTGCATGTTATTGTGTTCATGTTTAAGACGCGAGCAAGAATGCCAAATTCCCTGAATATCCAAACGATGGCAAATGTGCCATTCATTTTTACAACAGTTCAACAAAAAATGTAATATTAAGTGAACATTTTACATTTTAAATGTAGCCTACATTTTGAACATAATAGTCATGTTTGCTCTATTTTGCAACGAAATAATAGTTCCAACGAAATCCGTATCATCTGGTGTGCGTCTCCAAGCATCATACAGCGGTGTTTCGTCAGTGAACGAATCTGCGACTTTGAACGATTTGGAGAGTCAGTGATTAATAACCCATTCATAACTACAGCATTTTGCTTCGTTACTGAATGAATTAATGAATGACGCGACGCCTGGCTCATTAAGACAGCGACTTGCCGCCACCTATTGGCCGTTTTATTATAAGTATCACTTCGATTTGCCATCATTTATTGCTTTATTTATTATATTAATAATACACTTAATGAAATGTTAAGAATATGCCATAAAACATGACATACAATTAATAAGGATAGAAAATATTTGCTTCTATAAATGTAAAAAAATGCACCTGTAAATCAATTTAAGGGTGCAGATATTGTCCTTGAATAGAAAAGGTGTAACTGCGGTCTAAGTGGAAGAGAGGGGGTACGCAGAAGAATGTTAAATGCCCCGGGAGTACACCGCTGTAAAAAGTTTGAGAACCACTGAACTAACCTATACATCACCTTGTCTGCAGAGCAACCCTTGTGTAAATGTTATGATGTCAAGTGTTCTTCTATGAATGTTATTTCATTATTTGGTGATTCATTATTATATTATCATAACTCTGAGGACTGGAAGCATCTTGAGCTCATACTTGGCAATAAAGCTCTTATTTTCTAATGACTTTCTGCACTGATGTTCAATCCCAGGCCACTGACTATCATAGCATCACTACAGCAAACATATAACCACAATCTGAAGAACGGGCCTCAAACCAGTGTGATTTTAGTGCCATTTAGCTATTATTAATATTTGAATTCATTTTTATCATTTCAGTTTTCATATTATAAATCAATGTAGCTTTTTTTTTAATTATGTCTAATGTTATTACAGCTTTAGTTATTTTAGTACATCAAGATAAACTAAATAAGAATGAGAAATGTAAAATAAAATAAGTTAAAAAGTTATTGTTATTAGTGTAAATGTTATGATGTCAAGTGTTCTTCTATGAATGTTATTTCATTATTTGGTGATTCATTATTATATTATCATAACTCTGAGGACTGGAAGCATCTTGAGCTCATACTTGGCAATAAAGCTCTTATTTTCTAATGACTTTCTGCACTGATGTTCAATCCCAGGCCACTGACTATCATAGCATCACTACAGCAAACATATAACCACAATCTGAAGAACGGGCCTCAAACCAGTGTGATTTTAGTGCCATTTAGCTATTATTAATATTTGAATTCATTTTTATCATTTCAGTTTTCATATTATAAATCAATGTAGCTTTTTGTTTAATTATGTCTAATGTTATTACAGCTTTAGTTATTTTAGTACATCAAGATAAACTAAATAAGAATGAGAAATGTAAAATAAAATAAGTTAAAAAGTTATTGTTATTATTTTTTTTTAAAGGATTAAATGAGTCAATTTTGGTATGATATTTTAATGTGGCATTAAACATGCTTACCTATTTTTATTAAGTTTTTTTTCTTTCAGTTAACTTTTATTTCAAGTTAAAAAAAAAGTTTATAGTTTTAGCTTTTATTAACTATAATAAATCTGTCTCAAACTCACATATGGCTTGTAATTAGACTAATTAGCACAAAACTTTAAATATAACATTCCATGAGGTCAAACAAAGGTCATGACAATTAGCAACAGCACAGACATCAGGTACTAACTCAACTTAAAGGGACAGTTCACCCAAAAACTAAAAGACGACGTTATCAAAATTGTGTTAGTTTTTACTTAAAACATGAAAGAAAGAAAAAATTGCCAATGGTGCAAGAAAAATAATCTTGTTTTGCCTTGGCAAAAAATTATTTTCGTGTTTTAAGTAAAAAAACGAACACAATTTTGACAAGACTTCATATCTTTCTCTCTCTGGCAGCGCCTCCTTCTGAAAGTGTGTCCACTAGAGGCACACGAGCCTGCGGCAGCGCGACAATTACGCGTCGCGTCGCGTCGCGTCGCGTCGCGTCGCGTCGCGTATATCCTCCTGGGACCCCGACAGCGTTACAGACTTCTGTCCTCTGTAGAGGACTTTATATTTGAGTGAAACCTGGATGTCCTGCTCAGAGCACATTCAGGGCTTTTCAGGAGGTTTGATCATAAACACTCCCTCTGCTTGCTCTTTAAATATGACTCATATTGACAGAATTATCAAATGTGGCACTCTTAGGGAAATATGACACTATTTTGTAATTATAATTAAAATCTGACTAATTTACAAACTAAATAAACATCTCAGAAAAATGTGATGAGGATGCTAATCAGAATATGGCTTTTTGTTACAAAACAGGGCATAATTTTCATACGTTATACATTAATCAGGCATTTTGGGGAAACACGACAAGAAATTATAGATCAACATTCCTATGAAACATGAGATACGCGTCGCGTCGCGTCGCGTCGCGTCGCGTATATCCTCCTGGGACCCCGACAGCGTTACAGACTTCTGTCCTCTGTAGAGGACTTTATATTTGAGTGAAACCTGGATGTCCTGCTCAGAGCACATTCAGGGCTTTTCAGGAGGTTTGATCATAAACACTCCCTCTGCTTGCTCTTTAAATATGACTCATATTGACAGAATTATCAAATGTGGCACTCTTAGGGAAATATGACACTATTTTGTAATTATAATTAAAATCTGACTAATTTACAAAATAAATAAACATCTCAGAAAAATATGATGGGGATGCTAATCAGAATATGGCTTTTTGTTACAAAACGGCATAATTTTCATACGTTATACATTAATCAGGCATTTTGGGGAAACACAACAAGAAATTATAGATCAACATTCCTATGAAACATGAGATATTCTTATGAAAATGTTCCATTACTACACTTCTTTTTTCATTATGGTTTGCCCCAAGAATACATTAATATGCAAATTAGATGCAATGTATTGATGCATTATAGAATGGGAATACCAATTTATGGACATTTTACGCACATAATGCATAAAGTTAAATAGTATATCAGATCATTGTGTTAGCTGAGAATCATCTTTGTACAAAGTTTGGTTAAAAACAGCCTGAAACCTAAAAACTGATCGGTGAATTAATAAATAATTGTTTTTGTCTTTTTATGTCTATTTACTTTTTTGAATAACTCAGTCCTGGCGTCCTCTACAAAGGACATAGAATAAAATATCTTTTTTTCAAAAATGTTTTTCCTCCATTTGTTTTTTTATGCTTAACCAATGCAATGACATAAAAATCAACAAAATTCACAAAACTTTATTTTTCTGGTTCTCAGGAGGATACGAGGAGAGATAATACTCTCGCTCTGTAAAGAATGTCATATTTCTGTAATATACCCGAAATAGATAAACCCTTAAAATATCCCGTATTTTTGTCATAAAAAATCTATGAACTACAATAATCTATAATAATAATCTAAACTGTTTTCAATTTCAAAAAAGTACATGTTTTTTAAGCATTTATCACAAGAAGTGTACAGAAATATATACTTCTTTTTTTTTTTTTTACATCGATGCTGCAGATCGACACCTGCCAAACACTCAAGACTATCTTTAAGAATCTTTATTTTTGTATTTTAATATACTCGAATATTGATTAGCAAAGCTAATTTTAAATAATGAACCCTTTAATATCAAATTATATTCAGGAAATATATATTAAAATATATATTAAAAACAAAAAAAAACTCAGTACATTTAGGCATTTCTCACAAGAAATAGAAATGCACAGAAATATATATATATATATGGCTATATTGATTAATAAAAAGAAAATGTAGGAACTACCCATAATATTTTAAGACTGTACCTCAACATTACTGCGTTGCAGCAAACACAAGCATTATTTATTTTCAACAAGCTATTGCTAAACAAATTAAAGGTATGTTTTAATTATTAGGCAGGACAAAATGCTTAACCACAACCAATTTGCTTGATAACTACATTTATTAAATCATATAACACAAAGCAACTGACCATTTTTCATATTTACAAGATACACAAAGATATGTGCACGGTGAAAAATGACGACTAATGAAAAATGCAAACCAAAAATGAAAGCATCTGAAGTGACCGGAACATCTGAAATGACTTCAAATCCATAACACATTCCTACTTTATACAGAAACAAATGCATGCTCGTCATAGAACCTTTTTTTCCCCACAAGCGATTAATTTCACGTCGTGTCTCTAAACATAAAACAAACCGATGTAAGAGAATCACCGAAAAACAGATCAAACAATCCTAAGATCCTGCGAGTTCCTGATCAGTTCATGTAGTCAAAGTCCTCGGGTATTCCGAAAGCTTTGTCCAAGTTGCTGTTCTCAAAGCCGAACTTCTTTTTTGCCCAGGATTTGATTGCAAAAACATTATCTGGAAAAGAACTGAATGTGAAACATGACACAAAGCATGCATGATGCAAACTAATTATGAATACTATTCAACTTAGCCATTGTGCAACTAACTCAGAAATGCCATTTCTAATTGTGTAGGTAGAAACAGTTGAGTGCAATTATAAATATGAATAGAAGATTGCTTTTGCTTTTTAATACACTGATGCATCAATTCAACAAAAACTGATCGAGGAAAGCATTTTGTTTTATTTTATATAGCATTTAAGCACAGGTGCATTTTTTATGCATTAAAAAATACTCAAGTAAAGTCACATATGAAATCAGTGCAATTATAAAAGTGGTTTTATTGTCTATGAAACAGGGGGCTGCCATTTTTAGATCACATGACCATGCAAATATTACTTTATCTCGACAACCCCTGGTTCACTTTTTGATGAGCTCTATGTTTGTGCGATGTTGACATGTAAATAAAAGGCTAAATTAAATTCAGCAGACTTGGATTAAACTACTCGATTTGGTGGAATGTTTTGGTCGGGTTTTCTGCCGAAAATATGGTCTCTAAATGTAAATGTATTGTTTTAGCAACGCTTCAAAGTTTGAAAATACAACTTCTCCGTACAAATTCTCCATTGCTTTTTAATTCATTTTAGACAAAAAAAAAAAAAAAAATCTCTAAACATCCTTAAATCAAGATACATTTACTTAACCCCTTAAACGTCACCCCCCATTTTTTTAAATAGGCATGAAAGTGCACTATCCAAACTTAAATTGTTGTAATTTATGAACACTTTGGAATACAGACCTAAGGTTGGTCTCTTTTTAAAGAAGAAAATTAGCAGTTATTGCAATAGAATTTTTTCAAAAAATTAAAGTATCAAAAAGTTAAAGAAGTTTAAATTTACTGTAAAGAAAATGCACTATACTAATTTTATTTTATTTTATATATAATAAATATTTTACATAACAGGTTTCACTCTAAAATTGGTATAAAATTAAAGCCTTATGTCTAAACAAGTTATGTTCCAAATTTGAAGTTGATATGAAAAAAATTGAGGTTCCGGTGAGATTTTATTTAGGGTGTTATACCACAAACAGCCACCGGGTGCCATCCGAACTTGACATTTTTTGACGCATTTTTCTGTCACAAATGTCTTGTTTTCTCGATCTCAAAATAACCACCAAATATGGAATCCTGAGACTCAGACCTTTCCAATATGTTTTTTGTCAAGGTTATAAAAAGGTTTCATTCTAAAAGACCGTAATGCACTTTGTAATATGACACTTGACTCCACCCACTAAGGGGGAGGAGACCGCCACAAGACTTTAAAGTACCATTTCTATGGTAACGCAATGTTTGATTTCAAAATGGTTTTCACAGGATGAATCCTGGGCTTCTAAGCTTTCAAATGATATATAATTTAGGGTGATTACGATTTGATAGAGAAAAAGGACAACAAATAAAAGAGCACCAAGCGTCCCACAGGTGGGACGGTGACAGCAAAATGAAGATGTGACGTCTTGTTTTCTGCATAATTAATATAAAATGAAGTGAGTTTATGATTAAAACAAGAATAGTTGTCAGTAGGCCCAGACAAATCAACTTGATTCAAAGGGAAAACAAGATTTAATTCCTCACTGGCAGATATTTATTCTTGTTTTAAGCATAAACTCACTTCATTTTGTTCAATTTCTCAGAAAACAAGACTTCATATCTTCATTTTGCATTATCTTATCTTCAACGGAATAAAGTTGAATGGAATTGAATTGAATTAAAGTTGAATAAACTTCAACTTTACTGTTCAGTGCACTGATGTCCATTTATCCATTTTGGATAATAAAGTTTATTGTTAAATTGTTAAATGCCCTGCCTCCATCATTACGCATCTCTGTCACCATTATAAGTGTTTGATCAACACATTTGAGTGATCAATGCAAAAAATGTGTTTATGTATATATATTCTGTTTATGTATATATACTGTATTCTATACATATCTATATATATATATAGATATAATACCAGTCAAATGTTTGGACACACGAACGGGAAAGTGTCCAAACATTTGACTGGTACTGTACTATAATATACACAAAGATTATCGGCTGATATATCGATATCGGCCTTTTTTACTCCCCAATATCGGTATCGGCCCCAAAAAACCCATATCGGTCGGGCTCTAAAATGTATCTTGATTTAAGGATGTTTGGATATTTCTACTGGAAAACAAGACAAAGATACTGAGGAAGATATTCATTTTTTGCAATGCAGGCAACATTTATTGCCATGACTATCATTTTTAAGACTTTCTGCTCTGATTTATGAACTTACAGGCCTAAATTTTTGGAAATGTGAATTAAGACTTCTTAAGACCCACAGAAACCCTGTTGGAAGAATGGACTTTCAATAGAAGCACGTTTGAGTTTTGAAGATGAATGAAAATGCTTTAGGTTTGATGGTTTCATTTTTGGGTGAACTATCCTTATCCCTTTTTTGTCGTCTTTAAATGTAATAAAAAAATAACGAAACGCTATTAATGTAAAACTATTAACCACGTTCCATCTTTTTAAAATAATATTTTCACTCTGAAACAACCAAAATGTATTTTGGTCTTCGATTGCATTCAGCAAAAGAAAAAAAAGGCAGTCAAATAAGTGAGCAGACAGATTAACACCACGGTGCATGCCTCAAAGTTTTGTAAATGTCCTTATAAATATAGGTTAACTTGTTGAAAACTGGCTTGAAGGCATTTGAAATTGCCCTGACTTCTCAAAAGGCTCATCAATCTGCTAAATCATATATTGCATTAAATCTATTTGTGCAAGGCTTTGGTTTACAGGGAAGGTACAGTAAATCATCATCTCCTTACACAAAGCATCCCATCTATGAGATCACTCGGTAATATAATGAAACCTACATGAGTGAGTTAGCGCTTGCCTAACGTCGCGTGTACTTCGTGTTTGACTCTTGGCTGAAATCGGAGCTCTTAAATGTAAACAGAACATTAAACCCATTTAGCATGTCTGCTGTGTTCCCTGCACCGAAGGTTTTCATACACTGCTCATCTGAGAGCACTTTTGTAGTCACGTCTGCAGAGCGCATAAAGGAATTTCCATCCTGAAGTTAAGTGGTGTGCATGTCTGTGTCTGCTGCATTCCCAAAAAAAACATGCCTGGGAATAACCGAGGGTTTTGTGCTGCACTGCCCGAGTCAGGAGTTAGAAAAACATGCGAGTTAATTTTACTCGAGACTGGAACTTGGAACTGGGTTATGGCATCAAAGTCAACAAAACACCAAAATTTGAGAACAGCCAACTTTCAACCGTCGCGGGCGATATGGCCAAAAAACAAAATGATCACGATAAAATTTAAGATTAAAGTTTAAAGTCAGAGTTTTACTCCTAAAGTGAAAGTCGTAGAAAGCAGACCATTAACTGTGGTTTGAAACGACTCTTTATGGTTAGAACATGACACGTTTACACTTTTCTAGTCGTTTATAATATATATAAGTTTCTGCATGTTCTAATGAGTGATATTGTTTCAAATCATGAATCAGGTTTGTGTTCCTGACTTTGATGACGAGTATCTTCAGCACAGTTTGCAGCGCAGGCTGCAATATTAATAAAATTACATTTTCTCGTCTCTTAGAAATGCACATTTGACGGTAGCTTGAGTTGACAGTAGCAGCTCGAGTTTGGATGCAGATGTACATTTATGTTCATTATCACAAACAGCAACATCTGAAATCTAATTATTCTGACTGTTTTATTTAAATAAACCCTTGGTCTTCCACAGTAGCATACGTTTAGATCATGATAACCACAGTTAAAACCAAACATAGCGCCTCAATACCATGGTAAAAATATAACTATATGGTTTCTATAGTATTTAAATGAAAAACAGTAGTCTAAATACATTTAGTATAAATGCACAAACGCTGTAGCTTAATCACATATAATATATATATATATATATATATATATATATATATATATATATATATATATATAGATATCAC